GGCCACTATCGGGTTTTGGTGTTATTTGGGTATTAGCGTTTTAACCAAAACATTATTTAGTTTAATGAGATTCCTAGTACCTTTATGAATTGGTTCTTTTAGTTGTTATCATTCTTACTTTGATATTCAGATCACAGAGGGCTTGATGGTGTAAAAGATCCTTGTTTTCCTCATTCCTAGCCAGCGAATATCTCGACTTTACGGAATACTCCCCACTTCTTGTATGCTTCTTCTTATAGTGCCTCTGTGTTGCCCTACCTCTGAACTCAGAAAATCACCCTGATCCAAACAAACAAAGATAGATGGACTAACGGTTGGTCTCTGCAAGCCAAGGCTGGTTGAAATGTAGTGTTGCATTTTCATTTTCGAAGAAGAAACGTACGGGAGGAGAATCTTAGCTGGTTCGGGATCATTCGGGTCAGGTCACCATAGTCGTCGTGCCATAACTGCCATTGGCTCATGTCTTGATGCACAACATAATGCGGGCAATTGAAAGCATGCAAAGCTTAAATCTGATAGTGTTGTTTTGCCATCGGAGGCTTAGGCTGTCAAATAAGCCTGTGGCTTACACGAGAGCATGGAACAAAGCGTAAAGAGTCGAGTTCAAGTGCGGCTGCCATAGCCAATACTGTTGATACTACAAAAGAATCGCTACTAATCCTATGTTTCCCTTCGTGCTTGTGCGATCTATTTAATCAAAGACCCAACCCATACCTCGGTGTAATGTGGGTCTCGTGTTTCCATCCCCTGTCCTTGAACTTCAGGTTTACTCTGTTTGGTTTTGATTTTCTCAATAAATTCTTTCAGAAGAAAAAAAGGTCTGATGAAGTTTAAATATACACAGCCGTGAAAACCACATATCTTTTTTATTGAGACCGGTTTAGGAGACAAAACAAACAAGAGAAGAATATAATCTCAAAATCATGTAATATGAGGTTTAAAAAAAAGCCTTGCTTCTTTTCCCTCATTAGACTCTTTTCTAAACGATAAATAAATATAAAAAAAACATGATCTTTCCCTTCGAATATTTTGAGATACAAAAAGTGGGATTTAACCTTCTTTTTTTTTTTACCACTTCCAAGATAATAATACTTATTACCCAGATAAAAAGAGAAATAAAAGCTTTTGCTCTTCTTTCACTTAGTTCACAACGTCGAGAACAAGCTTACGGGATTTCAGAACTGACCATTTCAGTCTCCTGTAATATGCAGCTTGAAGCAGAGCCAAAGATAGTAAAAAGATCCATTTGAAACCCATCTGCACACACATCAAACCAACGTTAACAGAGACTAAAGAGTTAATTCTTTACCCGTTTTAGCGGGTTCCCTGAAGTCGGTTTAGAACTAACGTGATGGTTTCGAAAACAGGTGAAAAGGAGTTACTTAGTAGAGCAAGGGTCAATAGCACAATCAGTATAGATCAACACTATTACGCTATGGATCATGTAAGTCGTTAAGTTCATATCTGATATTAGTAGATTAGTATCTCGGCTTTTTTAATTTGGACAGCGATGAGCAAAATAAAGACAAAAGGGATGTTTTGGTCAACATAAACATGCAATCTATCCGAACCGAAAATATCCTACCTGAAAACCGAGTTGAGCTTTAGTACAGATAAAATGATAGTAATACTTTTTCTATATCCAAAAATCAAAACTGAAGCCATACCAAACCACAATCTAATACTATGTCGGTTTTAGTTTGGTAACAATTTTCTAAAACAAAAATCCAAAAAACCGAATAACATAAACCGAAACCCGGATTGACACACCTATTGCAATCTTGTATACCAACAGCTTAAAAAATGAAACCATTTCAAACAAAGAAACTTACCAATTTCCTCTCTTCCATTTCTGGTTCAGCTGCCCAGGACAAGAATGATACAACATCTTTACCCATCTACACCATAATAGAACAAAGCAAAGTTAAAGACTACTAATTAACTCCAGGAAATGTCAAATCCGATAGCGGTCTGTAATTCTTTTCTAAGGAGAAGAAAACTAACCTGTGCTTCAGTCGCAGGGGTTCCATCCTCATATTCCACAGCTTCATCATTGAGCATCTTTGGCATAGCGATTGCTCCACCAGGGAAATAAGGATTGTAGTGTAAACCGTCTCTGATCTGTACCGTTGTCACGTAATTTTTTCATACACTTAACAATTTTAAGTTGTAATAACACTCTGATGCGAATTTAGGAGGTAAGTTTACCGAAATTCCAGCTGGAGGATCACGGTAACCAGTCAAAAGAGCAAAGACATAATTTTGGCCATTGTGACGTGCCTGGCAGAAAAGAAAAAAAGTAAAGCTGCTTGTTTAGATCACAGAAGATGAATTTTCAAGTATACAACTTGAGTGATATAGCACCAACCTTAGTTATAAGACTTAAATCAGGTGGATAAGCTCCTCCATTGGCAAACCTTGCAGCTGATTCATTTGAGTATGGTTCAGGAAGCCGGTCACTGAGTTTACCGGGTCGGGTGAACATCTCACCCTCATCGTTTGGTCCATCAACAACCTCGATTTCAGCTGCCATTGCCTTTGCCTCTTCCTCTGTGTAGGCAACACCCACCAAATCTCGGTACGAGATCAGAGACATTGAGTGACAAGATGCACAGACTTGCTGATAAACTTGGTGACCACGACGGATCCTGCTCATTATTAAACCAACCACAAATTATTTTTAAAAAATTCAAATTTCTCCTTTTTTCTGCTATAGTGTTACAGTCTCACTATGCTGGTTAACAGGTATAACCTCCAATTATAAAAGAGGAATATATGTGACAAAGTGTAGTTTGAAAACTCACGAAGCATGGTCATATGAGCTGAGAATGCCATCATGTGGCCATGGGTAGTTTGGACACTCCAAGCCATGTTCAGCTTCATCAGCAGATGCTACTGTAGAAAAACTCAATAATCCTGTAATACCAGCACCCACGAGGGCAAATGCTCTAACACCAGCAGACCCAACATCTTCAGTAGCTTTCTTAGAAGAGAACCACGACAAGACCGGAGTTGCCTGTGGGATAAAACCGAAGAACAGTAAGAGCTAAAAATAAGTAGTTGTAAGCTTAACAAATGCACAATCAAAAGATTGCCCAGAAACAGAAGTCTACTTTGTCTAAAGCGAAGATGACCTTTACTCTCTAAGCACAAATCAAAATGTCAGTGACAAGTAAAAACTCATATCTTTCACTAACAATCACCTTCTTATCCTTCCCAAAATGCTACAGATGAGCTGAAAATTCCCAAATTCTTATATTCCCAAATGTCACACGCCATGGAAATTCTACGAAAAAATCTCTAACATGAATCTCTCAGAGCATGAAAACGTACACACAGAACCCAGAAAACTAACAAAACATCCTAAAATTCTTCTTCTCTTCAAACAAATCCCAGATACATAGAAAGCAAAAAACAAACGAGAACCAAACAAAAATCCAAATGTTAAAGGGAGAGATAAAATCTCACTACTGATTGGGATTGAAGTTTCCTCCTCAGAAGCTGCTGGATAACTCCTCCTCCAACCATTTGAAGAACTCCTTGTACCAATCAACTCGCTGCAGAACAAAAAACAGAGTAATCAAAAGACGAAATACTGATGCAATTACACATATAAGAATATCCAAAAAAAAAAAAAGCTTAAGCCTTAGAAATTCGACTCTACAACATTACAGATCCAACGAATATATATCCAAATGAAAGAAGAAATCAAAACCAACAAATTCGAATACGATCATATGATCGACCGGAGAAAAGAGAAAAAAGCTCACCGGAAAATGAAGCAACGGGATCGGCGATTGAAGACTATTCTCAGAGACAGATGCGAACACAGAACGAAGAAGAAGTAAACAGATACCAGAGAAAATAGATATCTCTCGATGACGCGACTGTCACACACTCACGAGAGACCTTTAAGGCTTTTAAGGCCCATTGGGCCTCATATCATCATCAATTAAAGGGCCATGCCAAAAAAAACATAACTATGTCGCCGAACACTGAACCAAAAAAAAAACCCTGGAACTTTATTTATTTATTTATCATAGAATCAAAGAGACCAAAATCTCGAGAGTTATTATGAAAATGAATTTTGAGACAAAACGACGAAATATCGTGGTTTTTTTCTTTTAAGTTAGTAAATAGTTAATAGCTCACCAACCTATGAAATAGCAATAAAATACCGATAAAAATATCAGTTAATTTTTGTTTCTTTTGAATTAAATGTAAAATAAAATTAATTCAAACAAAAAAAATGTATTTTGCAACAAATGCTACTTAATTTGAAAAGTGTCTAAATATCTTAGTCTTTCTTTAGATAAAAAATAAAAAAAAAACCGAAATTCAAACCAAATTTCCATTGCTCCTTCGTATCTCGTATCTTTCATCTCATGAATTGACGATAAGCGGTTTCTTAAAGTTAATTTTTTTTTATTGTCCATTAGCTTGTTACTTTTTGTAGATTATGATCTTCAATCCATGTTTTACTTTTTTCTTTGTTTTCTTTTTGTTTCACTTAAATGAATTCGTATTTGAGGAACC